TATCTGTCCCACGGCCAGGTGATCCCAGCAATTAAGAACACTACATACGGCTTACAGGTCGAAGTACACAAGTTGAACACGGAGTAGATTACACGCTGGCTAATTGCTGATTTTCCATTCAACAGGGGAAAGGCAGAAATGCTAAGAAGAGTAATAAACAAAACTACACCCTCTATAAAACTAAATCTTTATGCCATAAGAAAAATCTTCAGCTCCTAAATGAAGCGGGGTCGGGGAAATCCAAGTCAGGAGGAGTTACTTAAAAACAAACAAAAACAAAAATGACCATCTCCTTCCTGCCTTTTAAACATTCCCATAGATACGTCATCTCTCCTACGGACTGTCAAACTCGAAATCCCCGCAGGTCAGTGCAGAATCAGTGCAATCAGAGACAGGCTGTGACTTTAACATGAATCCAACTGGTCCGCGCTCATCAGGACAAAAGAAGCCGGACTGCCAAGCGGAGGGAAAGCAACCCTCGCGGCGCCTGAGCTCCCCAGCCCTTGGGGAGTCGCTGCGCCGAGCCCCCCTTCCGAGCCTCCCGCCGAACCCTTCTTCCAAGCTCGCACCCGGCCGCGAGTGGGAGGGAACCGCTCGCACAAAGCCCCGCCGGCCCGGGCGCCCCGCGGACTTTCGCAGGACACGGTGGGGCTGAGCGCCCTCAGCGTAGCAGCACCCAAGCAGCGCGGGGCGAAAGGAAAAGAAACAGCAGCCACCTCACGGGAGCGGAAGAACTAGGGGGAAAAGCTGGAGCTGCCTCAGTTTCCCCCAACTGCAAACCGCCGGCAACGGAAACGACGCTACTCGCCGCGCGTTCCCTGCAATCACCGCGACCCGGAAGTCGGGGAGTGAGACGGCGGGAACGCCTACCCGGGGACACGGTCCGCCCCACCCCGCTCCCCCGGCGTCTCCGATTGGCCCGAGCCCCACCAATCGCTAGCTCTGAAAGGATGTCCAGCTGCGTTGCCGCTACGCGCGTGCTCGGATTCTAGGGACGCCGACGATTGCCCTGGCAACGGCTGCCTGGAGGCACGCCCGGCGCCGAAGGTTGGTCTTCGGCAGAGCGGCTCTGTAGACTTTTCTGGACTTAAAGTTTGGGTGGTTTGCGCAAGTTGAAACCGTGTACTGCTTCGAGACTCCAAGCACCGGAGAAGCGGCGGGGTGCTTTGTGTAGTTTTCACAGCGCCTGAGTTACAAAAGTTTTTCCACCTACATTTGATCTTCATTCTGTGAGAGAATTAGTACCAGTCCGACTTTATACGTAAGGACACGGAATTCATGTTGAATGACTTGCCCGTGGCTACTACGTGGCACATAAGGTGAGCCCTGTATGTTGAGTAGAGAAGTTTGGACTTTGTCCCATAATAATAAATATCTAATAGTTAATTCATTGAACATTTATTCCTTAACTAGTTATCATTCTTGAAAAAGTAATTAATGCGCGTGATTTAAAAAAAATTCAGCCTCAAACAGTACATTCATTAACTCAAGTATATGCTGATTGCCTGGTATGCACCAGGCAGCATTCCAAAGGAATCATACACTAAATAAACACAAATATTTAGTATGTCAGATGGTGCTAAAGTAAGGGATATAAGGGAGGGAGGGAGAGTTTTTACCTAGCGTAGTCTGGGGAGTCTCCGTGGTAAGGTGACATCTGAGCAGTGTCCTGAATGGAAGTAAGGGAGTGAACCATAAGCGTATCCGGAGGAAGAGTATTCCAGACACTAGAATGGCAAGTGCAAAGGCCTTGAATCAGGAGCATACTTCATAAGTTGGAGGAATAGCAAGAAGGACAGTGTGGCTGAAGGAGAAAGACCAAGAGGAGAGTAGAATGTAAGCACAAAGGACAACTTACACTGAAAAATAGCTTCTACCCACCCACACACAATTCCTGGTCCTTCAGCCTCCATGCTCAAAAGCAACCAGTATTTGTTCCTTTTTTTATACCTCCAGGGACATGAAATCTGGACATACAC